ACAATCTTGATTCAAATAGTCCTTAAATTCCCTCCAGTCCTCTTGAAACTCCTCTTCTTTCTGGTCGCGGATTCTTCCAGTCAGGTCAGCTAGCTCCGAAAAGTCCATCATCTCCAACGCCCATCATCCTTGGCCATCAGCCATGCTTTGCTGGGGCTGATGGGAGCTGTAGCCCAGCAGCAAGTAGAGGGCCACACGTTCTTCACTGGTTGCTCTATCCTGATCGGCGCAGCTCTTCTCCTTTGCCCTGGATAATACCCCTTCTTTCTGCATTGTTTGTTCCACCTTCCTTTTCCTTAAATGCAGCCTATTACAGCTTTGGATTTCGATGGGTTGTCCTGCACGCCCCAGACACCACTTCGTCAGCGTTTGTGTACACTATAATTATGCAGGTTTTCCCAGGGAACATAACCACAAGTACCTATCGCTATCACTAATCAAAACATTCAGGTAGGTGGCAATTATCCCTGGGGAAAGAACAGTAAACCCAGCAAGGTTAAATTTAGAGGACGTTTCTAACCACTTCAGAAGATGCCGGATGAAATTGGCAACTTTCCTGTCGACTGCTGGGCACTTGCTGAGCTGTCGGAACAGTGTGTGTTGCCTGCCCTGCCCTGAGCTCCCCATGCTGACCTGTTGGCCTCAGGTGTGGAGGGTAGGGGCAGAGGACGAATTTGCATTTCACTTTGTATTTTAACTCACCAAGTCCGCATTTTCCGAAGCACGTGAGCTAGCGCAACAGTTATCCTTTGAAATTTGCACTTCTCTGAATTTTGTAATTCTCATGCAAAATGTGTATACTAGGCGAAAAGTGTGCATGGGTATATTACAGAAAAGAACATGGAAAAATGCATTCTATTAGAGTGGTTTGTGTGTGTGCAAAAATGTGTATATTAAGCAAAATTGCAGAGAACTGTTCCGTATAGTGTAGGAATCAGGCCTTTAGTGTGCCAGCACCTATCTTCTGGAATACCGTCCGAAAAGTGATTGTTTGATCAGACTCGCTTTTCTTTCTGTTGCCTATTGAAGACCTTCCTTTTAAAAACAAAACAAAACTGAAGCCTTTAAACTAGAGATCGTTATTCCAAACTGTCTATGTATTGGATTCATTTCTATGGTTTTTATATATGTCTGATGTGCAAATTTCCCCCAGCCTACACATTTTTGTGTGCCATTTCACCTAATATACACACATTTGCAAAGTATATCTCCCTTAATATTTATATTCTCCTTAACATTTATTATACTCTATACACTAATATACTCCTTATTAAGTGCATTATCACCTTTGCATTTGCACATCACATGACTTAGATGAAGGACTGCACTGCAAAATCTGGAGATACGTGGATTTCTAAAGAAGGGTGTATTTTGGTTCACGTAGCGTTTCAGAAAGCATAAATTAGATAGATTCATATTCAGACTGAATCATATTTCTTCCCGCATCCCCAAGAGTCTGCTTTGTGCTTTGTGTTAGCTGCCACTACTTATGTGTTTATTTTCTTGTTTTCGGTTTTAATCACATGACGGGTTTTCTTTTGGCCTGTGGCTAAGAGAAAAGGACCCAGCCCTTTTAATACAATCTTGCTTCACATCTGCCTCTTTCAAAGAGGAGTCATGAGTGCCGAAGGGAGGAGAGCTTCTAAATGGGGTGTGATGACACATAGCTCCACTTCTCCTTTACATCTGTAGGTGTGGCATGGGATGTGCTGGACCGTTTTCTTGCCTCAGTAATGGGATGAGAGCCAACAAACTGAAGCTCAATCCAGATTAGGGCAGAGGCACTGTTAGTAGGGGGTTCCCTAGACCAGATGGGGGGGGGAGGTGGCCTGCTCTTGATTGGTTTACGCTCCCTCTGAAGGAGCAAGTCCATAGCTTGGGGTTATTTTGGGATCCCTTGTTGCCCCTTCCTTGAGGATCAGGTGACCTCAGTGGCATGGAGCGCCTTCCATCAGCTTCGGTTGGTGGCCCCTTTCTGGACAGGGATAGCCTAACTTCTGTCACTGTGGTAACCTCCAGGTTAAAGGTAAAGGTAAAGGGACCCCTGACCGTTAGGTCCAGTTGTGACCGACTCTGGGGTTGCGGCGCTCATCTCGCTTTATTGGCTGAGGGAGCCGGCGTACAGCTTCCAGGTCATGTGGCCAGCATGACTAAGCCACTTCTGACGAACCAGAGCAGTGCACGGAAACGCCGTTTACCTTCCCGCCAGAGCGGTACCTATTTATCTACTTGCACTTGGAGGTGCTTTCAAACTGCTAGGTTGGCAGGAGCAGGGACCGAGCAACGGGAGCTCACCCCGTTGCGGGGATTTGAACCGTCGATCTTCTGATCGGCAAGTTCTTGGCTCTGTGGTTTAACCCACAGTGCCACCCGCGTCCCTTAACCTCCAGGTTAGATTACTGCAATGTGACATATGTGTGGCTGCCACTGAAGACCGTTTGGAAACTTCAGCTGGTGCAGAATTTAGTGTCCAGGTTGCTCACTGGGGCAAGATGGTTTGAGCATATAATTCCAACCCTGGCTTGACTGCACTGGCTGCCAATTCATTTTTAATACAAAATGCTGCTTTTGACATAATAAAGCCCTAAACAGCTCAGGACCGCAAAACCTCACAGACAGCCTCTCCCTATATCAGTGGTGGCCATACTTGGTCCTCCAGCTGTTTTGGGACTACAACTCCCATCATCCCTAGCCAACAGGACCCAGTGGTCAGGGATGATGGGAATTGTAGTCCCAAAACAGCTGGAGGGCCATGTTTGGCCACCACTGCCCTATATGAACCAACCTGGGGCCTGCAATCATCATCTGAGGCCCTTCTTTGTGTGCCTCCTCCACTAGAGGCCTGGAAGGTGACAACTTGAATATGGGCCTTTTCTGTGGTGGCTCTCTTCTTGAGGAACACTCTCCCCCAAAGAAGCTCTTCCGGTGCCTTCATTACATATCTTTATAGACGGCCAGGCAAAAACATCCCTCTTCTCCCAGGTCTCTGGGCAATTAAACAATATGCAGCCTTTTAAACCAGGAGAGGTGGTATTTTGTTTAATATGGTACACGTTTTTGTGTTTTTATATTGTAAACCACCCTGTGATCTTTGGATGAAGGGCAGTATAGATAATACAGTGGTAGCTCGGATTAAGTACTTAATTCGTTCCAGAGCTCCGTACTTAACCTGAAACTGTTCTTAACCTGAGGTACCACTTTAGCTAATGGGGTCTCCTGCTGCTGCCGCGCCACCAGAGCATGATTTCTGTTCTCATCCTGAAGCAAAGTTCTTAACCTAAAGCACTATTTCTGGGTTAGCGGAGTCTGTAACCTGAAGCATATGTAACCTGAAGCGTATGTAACCTGAGGTACCACTGTAATAATAATAATAGCAATAATATTAATGAATAAATAAATAATCTGAAATAATTGAATGAAGGAATTGAGCCTACAAAATCAAGGGACCAAGAGGTGGATGGTGGTCGCCAACTTGCCAGAAACGCAAACAAACAACACCCAGCCTGGTTTGCTCCCATGGGCCTAGCCAGGATTTTTGTCAGGGGAGGCAGGCCTTTTGTTAGGGGGGGGACAGAACCTCAGTTAGCTATGTATTTTTACTGATTTTATTGATTTGCCCCTCCCTGGCTATGCCCATATCTGCTCAAGTGCCTTTTAAGGAGCAACTTGATCTGCAGAGATCAGCAAGTAAAGCAGAACGTAAGAGGCCTGCTGGCTCAGCATAAAGGCAGTGTGTTCTCACAGTGGCAAATCAGATGTCTATGGGAAGCCCATAAACAGGACCCTTCCCTCTTGCGATTCCCTGGAATTGGTTTTCAGAGGTATAGTGCCACTGACAGTGGAGGTACAACACAGCCACTGAGAAGTCTTATCCAACATGAATTTGTCGAATCCTCTCCCAAACCAAACTAAGTTGGTAGTCATCACTGCCACCGACCAAGTAGGGAACCTCCAGACAATTCTGGACTCCAGTTCCCATCATCCCTCAGCACTGGACAGGTTGGCTGGGATTGATGGGACCTGGAGTCCAACAACATTTGGAGCTTTTTACACTTGGCAATCTCTGCCAATTAAGCTGTTTTAAAAGACCAGGGGGCTCATGTATGTGTATGTCGATATATATGAAAATCTGGCAATACTATTCCACACCCCTGAAAATTATATTTAAAAAAATATTATTGCTGCAGACTGCAAAATAGCAACATCCCATAAGTCGCAGCGAATTTAACCTGGTTTGCTCCCAAGTATTCAGAGTATTGAAACCAGTAGTGCAGTGAGACAATTCTAAACTCTGGATTTCTTTTTTTTGGGGGGGGGTGTCTTTAGATCAGGGGTGGGGAACCTCAGGTCTGGGGGCCAAAGGCCATTCTCTGTCTTTTGAGACTCTTCCTAGGCCACAGCCCTTCCTTGCTTTGTAGTGGGGCTGTTTTTGCCTGGCTGGAATTTGTCCTTGAACTCTAATCATGCCTCTTGCTTCCTGGGTTGGAGGGTCCAGAGGGTTGTGGAAATGTGTGTCAAAACCAGCCTATTATAAGAAGCTAAAATTGACACCCACTGCCCTCTCCCCACTGGCATACAACCCTCAGAAGGTTCCCTTCAAGGGGATGTGGCCCCAGACAGACATAAATTTCTCCAACTCCTGCTGCAATAACTGCTAAGATTTAAGAACATTTCTGCTTCCGCAGGCCTATGACCGGCTACGTTTTCCTGCATTTCATGGCGGTTACGTGTTTCAGATGGGTTTTTATTGTTAATGGTATTTTTATTACAGACGTACTCACTGCCTGGGGCTCATTTGGGAGGAAGAGCAGGATAGCGATGCGACAAAAGTTTCTTTTCTTTTTTTATTACCCACCCTTCACCCTAAGCTCCAGGGCAGGTTACAACACCCAAGCACAATACTAGAAACTGTTTAAAACAATTATACAACCTTAGAATCAAAGAAATGAAGTGTTGGAAGGGACCCTGAGGATCATCTGGTCCAACCCCCTGCAAAGCAGTTTTCCAATACAGGATCGAACCTGCAACCTTGGGGTTATCAGCACCACGCTCTAACCAACTGAGCTATCCAAGCTCAGTCTTCTTTATTTCTATCCCTTCCTTCTTTTTCTCTTTCTCTTCTCTCTCTTTAACTTTTGTTTTCCTTTGGTGTCCTCTGCTCTGGGCCATTCTGAGTGTCCGCAGAGGAAAGCGATGGTTGATGAAGGACCCTGAGAGAGAGGCATGGAAGGGAAAAGACGTCTGCAGACCGAGAGAAGAAAGGAAAGCTGCCAGGTGAGAGCTGGGAGGGTGCATCACTTTTTGTGTCAGGCAAAGGCAGACCCTCCAAGTATCCCTATTTTCCAGGCGCAGTCCCAGATTTGCAAAAGCTGTCCCGGTTCCTGATTTGATCCTGGAATGTCCCACTTTTCCTGAGGACCATAGCTGTCAACCTTCCCTTTTTTTGCGGGAAATTCCCTTATTCCAGCACCGTTTCCCACTGCTATCCCGGATTGTTAGATATCCCGTAGACTGTCCCCGGGACAGGTGAGGCTGCTGATCCCTTATTTTCGAGGCTGCTGAGCCCTTATTTTCAAATCTGAAAGGTGACAGCTATGCTGAGGACGTCCCTATTTTCACTGGCGAAATGTTGGAGGGGATGGAGTTATGTGACCCCAGAGTGAAGGAGTATACAACCTTTCGAAGCCATCTGAAGGCAGAACTGTACAGTGGTACCTCGGGTTACATATGCTTCAGGTTACAGACTCCGCTGACCCAGAAATAATACCTCGGGTTAAGAACTTTGCTTCAGGATGAGAACAGAAATCGCGCGGCAGCAGCAGGAGGCCCCATTAGCTAAAGCTAAAGCTTCAGGTTAAGAACAGTTTCAGGTTAAGAACGGACCTCCAGAACGAATTAAGTTCTTAACCCGAGGTACCACTGTATAGGGAAGTAGTTTTTTACGCTTATGGTTTTTAAAAAATATTTTTATATATGTTAAAAGGTGCCCAGAGGGCTGGGGAAGCCCAGTCAGATGGGTGGGGTATAAATGAACCCCAAATTATGGAATAGGACGGCCCTATTTTCATGGGAGAAATGTTGGAGGGTATGGAAGGGTTAAGCGCTCACCCTGGCCAACCAGCCACCTCTCCTGGGAAGCGACGCATTTGATCCGCGCGGATTTCAACAGCCAGGGCCTGCTGCTCCCTCCTCTGAGCGGGGTCTGGATGGGGACCCCCCGGGCGTTTACCCCAGCAGCCCTGCCCCGGGGGCAACCGATCCCCGCCCTCTTACAGGCCGTGCGTAAAAACCTCTCCAGCAGGGCCGGCTCCGCCTCCGTTTCCTGCGCTCTCCTTTGCGCGCGAGAGGGCCGGCCGGCCAGCCAGCCCACCCACCCCCAAGCCGGGCAGGCAGGCAGGCAGGCAGGCTGCCGATCCGAAGCAGCAACGGCGGAGGCGCGGGCAGGAGCGAGTGCAGAAGGAGGAGCCGCGCAAGGAGCCGGTTTGAAGTTCGCTCCTTCGCCGCCAGCCGGGCGCGCCGCGCCACATTGGCCCTCTCAGTTCATTTGCATTGACGCCAGTAAAGGCTGGAGGTCAGCGCTGGCGGGGGCTTTTATTGGCTGCGACGCGGTGGAGCCTGCCGGGGCTGTCAAACTCCCGGGCAGATCTTCTTTTTTTTACCCCTTCCTTTTTTCTTCTTCTTTCCTCCCTCCTTTTCTTCTTTTTCTTCCTGGAGGTGTTTGGTTCTTACGGGAGGGAGGGTGCTGAAAAGAGGGAGATCGTGCAAGCCGGGAAGCCTCGTTCGCTACTGGGGAGGAGAAGGCGAGGCGAGTGCGCGGCTGGGCTGCGGAATCGGCGGCAGCTGCAAAGATTTCGCCGGGAGCGCCGCCGAGAGAAGCAGCAGAAGAGGAAAAAAGAAGAGGCGAGCAGCCCCCACGCGCCTGGGATTTTTTTAAAAAAATATATTAGAAAAAGAACCCTCTCCGCTTCCCTCCTTTCTCGCCATTTTAATTCATTCCACGCAGATCGGAACTCCCCGCTCTCCTTTTGCTGCTTTCATTTTTCACTCCTTTTTTTTAAGGGGGGGGAGCGCGCGCTCCGTTTTGGCGCAGAATAAAAGCCACATTTCAAAAAAACACACAACCAAAATGGAAACGGAGGAGGAGACGTCGGCTACCGGCTGGAGAATCTCGGGGTTTTTTTCTTCCTTGTGAAAAACTTAACCTTCTCTGTGTTTGTTACAATTCCTGCTGCTCTTCTAGGGGAAGGGAAGAGAAGAGGAAGACAGAGAAATCCTCGCTCCTCTCCTGGGCTTGACCCTGCCCCTGCTCCACCCCCCCCCCGTCCCCGCGCCTTCTCCCAAGGGTGCAGTTATTAAGATGCTCTCCATTTCTACGGGTCTTCTTTTGCATCGGCGCTCGTGCCTCGGGTTGATGCGCTCCGCTTGCAAGCTTCCCTCTCCCCTCTTTTTGGGGTGTGTGTATTTGGGATAAAGGGGGGTTCTCGGTGCCCCTTGAATGGAAGGCCGTCGCTGGCTTGAAAGAAGCGCCTTCTTTTTTAACCCTAACCTTCCAGGAAGAAGAGTTAGTCCGGAAGAGAAGCCCTTTTCGAAGAAAAGAGAGGAAGTAACGTGTGAATGTCCGTAACGCGTTTCCAGGTTTTCAAGCGCAGCTGTTGCGAAAGAGGTGGTGGAGGAAGAGGAGGGGGAAGCGTTTGGCTAGGAATGTGAATTTGATGGGCGCTTCATGAGGTTCCCACGATAACACCAGAGGGGGCTTTATTCGCCCCCACCCCCCGTCCAGGAAGCCCCACTTGGGAACTGATTTATTTTAATCTTTTGGGTGGAAGGCAATATCCGACCCACTTGTGGGGGGCCTGGAGGCGGGGGGGCTTGGGGTGTGGACGGGTAGGGCTGGGGGGGGAGAGCCCCCACCTACTTCGATGTAATTTGCAATACACTAGGAATACAAACGTGGGGGGAAATACTTTTTTTTTGGAGGTGCTAAGGAGGGGGCCGAGAATTAGTACATTCTGGCATGGATCCGGCTTCTAATTAAACAGGAAGACTGAGGAGGGGGGCTGGAGATTTTCCCCAATTTTCTTTCTCTCTGCCCCCCCTCTTTCAATTGACTTTTTTTGTGGGGGGGAGGGTGCCAGTTAAACGCAGCTCCCTCCAGCCCTGCTTTTTAACCCACTTTCTGCGGTTGAGAACATCAAGACAATCCGCTTTGTAGGGTCAAAAGGAAGAAGGGGGAGAAAGCCCCTCCGCGCGCCCCCCACCCCAATTTCTCATCCGCCACCAGCCATGCGCCTTTGGGTTTGGGGTTTCTGCCTAAGGAACAGCTGACGATGTGGAGTGAAGCCGTGGACCAGGAACCAGATACGAACTATTAAGAGAAAGGAGTCACCAAGGAGTCCGTTTTCCCGGGAGGAAAAGAGGAAAGGGGGAAAAGAGAAAAAGGAGACGAGGTAATCTTGAGCACTAGCGGCTTGAAACCGCCACCATGGGCTGCGCTCCCAGCATCCACATCTCAGACAGCAGGGTGGTTTATCACAGTAGCAAAGAGACGGAGGACTCGAACTCGTCGTCGCAGCAGCAGCAGCAACAGCAGCAAGGCAACCCTGTCTCTGGATTATTCATTAAATCTTCCAACACCTCCGCGTACAAGTTGAGGACTAATCCTTCCAAGAAAGACAAGCAGGACAACATGGAGGGGGAGTCTCGCACCAGCAGATCCAGTGTTAAGGTAATGGAAAAAGTCGAGTCGTTTGGTTGAAGGGGGATGCCTGTACTTTTCTCTTATTGACAGATATATCGAACAGGATATTGGCCCCTGTCTGTTGAGTTGGTTTTAGGTTGGTTGGGGACCTGTTTATCTAAAAATGGCAACTTCAGCGGAGTTATTTATCCCCCCCCCCATTCATCCTTTTGCAAACAGAATTAAGTTTTAAGGGTTACACTCTATGTCCTGTAGCAAGAGGTGCAGAAAATCTATATATATGCCAATTTCATATTGTTTGAACTTTCTCGGGCCTGCATGTGTCTAGTAGTGTAAGAATGTCACAGTAGCAAAGCTATTATTTTACCCCTGCCACCCCCTGGCCCCTTTTAAGTTACCAAGTTTTTGTGGATATAAGCAAAAGTTTGTTTTAATCCCCATCCCCCCACTCTCCGACCTGATACATAATGGATTAGAACTGTTGATTTAAGACACTGATTTTTTCACACGCAAACGAGCACAGAGGACGCTGGCCTTCTGAACTTTTGCAAGGATTTGTGTGTGTTCGTGTGCAGACCAGGAACAAAATTCACCAAGGTTAACAATAAAGGTGGTCAGAAGGGGAAACATGTAAAAACCTGGTTGGATTTTTGCAATAAATGTGTGGTTGCCTATTGTAAGAGGTTCCAGGTGAATTCACTATGTAGAATTTACAAGCAAGTTTGTTTAGGATTAGGGTAATCAAAACCACAAAGGTCATTCCACAAGAACCGAAAGACAAAAAGGCACTAGGAATATTGACTCAGCTAAGAAAATAAATATTTTTAAGGATCAAAATAGACGTACTAATGCCTGCCCTGTTCAAGGTTTACAGCCCAGTTAAACTGCTATGCTCAAAATAATAAAATGAATTATACTAAAGCTTGAAATATTGATTTCAGTGAATACTTGATTTCAGTGAAACCTCATTATTCACTTTTTAAAAGCTTATTTAATACATATCTCACCTTTTCGCCAAAGTGCTCAGGGTGGCGTATACAGCTCTGTCCCATTTTTATACCTACAACAGCCCTGACAGGTTGATCAGGTAAGGAAACTGTTCTAAACTCAGGCCTAAGGGAAATGGTGATCTAAACTAAGCAGATATTTGAACTTGGTTGTATTTGGTCTAAACTGAGCGGTCTGGGTGCTGCACTGAACTGGATTTAACGTGTGAACGAAGATGCAAACTGTCTTAATTTCAAGTGCTTCGGTTGGCTGAAGTCTAGGTGGTTTGTTTACCAGGCAATTCTGTAGGGACCATTTGCTGTCAACATCCCCTTGTGTGTTTTCATACTTTAGGGTATTCTGTTGCAATGATCAGTTGCAATAAAACAAGCAAGAGCTAGAGATCTCCATGAAATTACGTCCTGATTTTAATTCTAGGTGTGCTTACTAGGAAGGGAGGAAGAAGGTGGTAAGATTAGATTATGAAACCTAAATGCAGTGCTTTCCCCCCCTAAAAAAATGTTTTAGGGGTACTCTCATTTTCCTACTCATATTGAAATACTGCCCATCAATGAGGCCAAACTTAGATTCACAAAATGTTTAGGGGCATGCGTACCCCTGCGTCCCCCCAGGAGAAAAAACATTGTCTAAATGTAATGCCTGTTGCTTTTCCCATGTAGGAAGAGCCAGGTGGCTGGTTTTATGTTGAGCAAAGTGTGTGTGTGTGGAATGGCTAAAATCCTCATGCCCAGCTCCTCTCCTGTAGTGTTTAGAATTTCCCAGGCACCGGGTGCATTTTGCTACTGGTGTGGGTCTAATTGCGACTACATGGAGATTTCTGGGTACTTGGTTGGCGGTCACTAGGGGTGCCAACTTGAATAAAACGGGTGTGCGTGTTTCTTAGGTAAGCCCCGCCATGCATAATCGATCACAAGACACTATTTAAATGGCAATGCTTATCAACTTGGGGGGCAGCTCCCTCAAATATTTTATTGGGGGGGGGGACTAAAGGACCTAGGCCCCTAGGAGTTGGCTCCTATGGCAACCACAATTTTAAAACCTCTGCCTTTCGATTTCCACTGTGTGGTTTTCTCCCTCAAGTGAATTGTTGGCCACAGTCAAGCAATGTTGTTGAGATTTGATAGAATTGAGCCTTGGAAGGGACATCTTGTCATCTAGTCCAATCCCCCGGCGAGTAGACATTCCGTTGTGGCTCTCGCAACCTAGGTTTAAGGTCTCTTTGGCACCTAGCTTATATATCTTGAGTTTCTAAGACTGCTGTATGTAATCAAACTGAAGCCCCACCCCTCCACCGCCAAAACCAGCTTTAAAGTAAAGGTAAAGAGACCCCTGACCGTTAGGTCTAGTCGTGGCCGACTCTGGGGTTGCGGTGCTCATCTCGCTTTACTGGCCGAGGGAGCCGGAGTATAGCTTCCGGGTCACGTGGCCAGCATGACTAAGCCACTTCTGGCGAACCAGAGCAGCGCACGGAAACACCGTTTACCTTCCCACCAGAATGGTACCTATTTATCTACTTGCACTTTGACGTGCTTTTGAACTGCTAGGTTGGCAGGAGCAGGGACCGTGCAACGGGAGCTCACCCCGTTGCAGGGATTCGAACTGCCGACCTTCTGATCAGCAAGGCTTAGGCTCTGTGGTTTAACCCACAGCGCCACCCGCGTCCCTAGCGTTAAAGTACGTAAAGCAAAAAACATTAGGTGATCCAGTCCCAGGGATCACGCTTCCATGGAATTAAGTTCCAATTAAATCAGTGTGGATTTGTTGTGACTTTTAAGCAAGGCTCTGATCCGCTGCATCTGAGTAAACCCCATCAAACACAGTTGTACTTGCTTCTGAGTAAATGTATAGGGCCAGAGCAGCAATCCTCTATGCCAATGAGGTTGATCAGAACTTAAGCCTAAGATTCATGTGTTGCAAACTCTGATCTTGGCGTGTGAAAGGGTCAATATTTTTTTCTTATTCATTTGTTTATTTATTGAGGGGATAAAATAGTTCTCAGGCTTCTTGCGAGATCGCTAAGGATTTGTGTGGCATCTCTTAGCATTTTTGCTTTTCATGGATGGTCACTGAGTGATCACGAGAAGCTCTTAACGGAGAAGTAATATAGTTGTGTGTAGGTGACTTTTGAAATGTATTTTTGTCTCAGTTTTACTCGCTTTTCCTATAAGCCTTCAAATATATGAAGAAAGAAGAAAGGATAGCAAATATTGATATATGACAGACATACAGTTGAGTGAGCGATGGGTGGGGTGGACTTATATATTATAAACGTTGCATAAAACATCTTTATCTCTTGTACTATTTCCAAGTCGAATGGTGAAATTGCAACCACTGTGGTAAATGAAATCAAATTAGGTATACGACCCCAAAACTCTGAAATGTGTGTTTAATTCCCACCTGCCACCTCTCTTATTCAGTATAGGATTGAGGATTTAACCGTTTTAAAGATTACAAAGATCACTAGGGCAGATGTGCACCACACATTTAAAGCATATCAATCCACAGCAAATGGCTTTCCTCTAAAGTATCATGGGAAATGTGGTTTGCTATCTCACTGGGAATTGTAGTTCACTGAAACTATAGTCTCCATGATTCTTTGGGTAGGTGGGGGGCGGTCATGTGCACTTAATGTGCTTTAAATGTGTGGTGTGAATTTGCAGAGACTGTAATCTTGCAGTAAAATTTAGAAGGGGCTCTCTGGTTGATTTCAGTCTGAATTCAAGATACTACTTCTTAATGGATTTAAGGCAGAGATAGGGAACCTGGTCAGGGATGATGGGGGATGTAGTTCACCAGAGGTTGCAGGTTCGATCCCCGAATGGGACAATTTACATACTCCTGTATTGCAGCGGGTTGGATCAGATGATCTACTCTACAATTTTACGATTCTATGACTGCCGTATTTACGCGAATCTGATGCGCCATCAAATCTAATGCGTGCCTCAGTTTTCAAAACCTTGAAACCAAGAAAGTATTTGCCATTCCAGCAGTGTTTTTCAAGTTTGCAACCAAATCTGATGCACCATCATATCTAATGCGCACCCTAATTTTCGCAAAGTGATTTGGCCAAAAAAGGTGCGCATTGCATTCGAGTAAATATGGTATGTCTATATCTATATATGCTACCTGATGAATTGGGAGCACCTTTTAAATAAGATGGGACACGGGTGGCGCTGTGGGTTAAACCACAGAGCCTAGGACTTGCTGATCAGAAGGTCGGCGGTTTGAATCCCCGTGACGGGTTGAGCTCTCATTGCTCGGTCCCTGCGCCTGCCAACCTAGCAGTTCGAAAACACATGAAAGTGCAAGTAGATAAATAGGTACCGCTCCGGCGGGAAGGTAAACGGCGTTTCTGTGTGCTGCTCTGGTTCTCCAGAAGTGGCTTAGTCATGCTGGCCACATGACCCAGAAGCTATACGCCGGCTCCCTTGGCCAATAAAGCGAGATGAGCGCCGCAACCCCAGATTCGGTCACGACTGGACCTAATGGTCAGGGGTCCCTTTACCTCTACCTTTAAATAAGATTGGTTAATTGATTAAACCTTGAATCTCCAGAGATGATACCTCATGTCGGTTCTTTGACGAGAACAAGCAAGGCTAACATACTCTACTCCTTTCCTCTCCTCTCTTTAAACAGAATGGGTTTTACTCATGAGCTAAGTAGGAGAGTGTGGGCTTTATTTATTTATGAATGGTGCATAAAATGAGTTTGCTCTTTATTCTGTACTGCATTCACGTTGTGCTCCTTTTCGCTGCAGTTGACATATAATGTACACGACGGTGTCTAACTTGACTGCATGCATCAGTGAAAGGAGTTGCAGCCTCATCTCCTGCTGTTTGCCATGTCATCGACAGCTGAAAAGTAAAAAAGAACAAAGGGTCTTGTGGCACCTGAAAGACGGGACAAATTTATTGTGCCATGAGCTGTCGTGGGGAACAAGCACAATGATTTGGCTTTAAAACCTGGCAGAACCCGTGCAATAACTTGAGCCATAAAAAGAGAAGGAGTGCATAAATAACATATGTGAGCCAGGGATTGTGATTTATTCT